ATCCTCAGTGAAGGAAAAAGAGGAGCCGATGCTACAAACGTTAAAAGAGAAAGGGCCTAAGTCAAGAAGAGCAGCGCTGCAGACTGTACACAGCAGCAACAGCTCTTGGGCACCAGCCTCTAGGGGATAGGCCACAAGAAGTTGACTTCAGTTACAAAGGCGTTGCCCGTTTTTGCGCGAGCGATGCCCGAAACTCCTAACGTGACAGCCCGACTCACAAAGTCGTCGTCATGTAGCCTCCGTCACCCTCAGTGTGAGTCATTGCGTCCAATACTCACGAACTGGCAGCCGGTGGGTCGTACTCAGAAGAGCCGTCTCCCAGAGTTCCCGTCTAGTGGCGTCCCACACTAGGTAACTCCCGACTACCAGCGATGGGCCGTAAGGATAATTCGTCGTCAAGCAAAAACACGTGGGCCGTCACTCCTAGCACTGCCTGACCCCGTCGGTAACAGGACAGTAACGAACACACCTGGGAGGGCCGTAGCCGTAGCCCGACACCCATAGCACAGCAAGCGCGTCCGCTTAACGACTGTACCCAGATGTGACGTGGAGCCGTACCAGGTAGACACCGTGCTGGAACTGAAGACGTTGGCCAACTCTGCTGAACCTGAGTCCCCAGTGTCCCAATCTGCGCCTTGTCTTGTAGACAAGTCTGGCCCGGCGGCCCCCGAGAGGCCTCCCCCTCAAGAGAGGATAGCCCCTCTAGGCCCTCAAGGGCACCCCATAGCAAGAGGAGTCCCTGGAATGCCCGTCGGGGCCAGCATTGGGAGGATGCTGACGCGTTGTGAGTCACCACGTTGCGCCTAGCCTGTCCTGAGTCTGACTTGCTCCCAGGCGCTGGCGGCTGAACAGAAGTGAAGCGCAGAAAACACTCAACCGTGCCGAAGAACTCTCGATCGCACTGGCTTCGTAGCAGCTGGTGGCAGTCCACTGTGCCGTTGAAGGAAAAACTAGTGCTCGAAGAAGACTGCATGAGAATACCAGACGATCCGTGTCCTTCTTGCGGAGGTGTACCAGTTAAAGCGCAAAACCAGAGCGCCAGCAAAACTGCGCAGGAGAGACCGTGAGCTGTACCTGGGTGTCTTGTCGTGTAGCTGGAAAGTCGAAAGAGGAGCGGAACGAGGCCTCAACTCGAAAGCTTCCTTCAGGATACCCAGGTGCAGAAGATGGCCAACCCATGACTGGGGCCGCCCCTTGAATGGCTTGGTGCGGCAGGTCCTTTTGTAAATGTAAAAGCATCGGCAGGAGAAAAGTACTGAGGCACAGTCGACGCGCCTTCCGCTAGTTTCGCCGGAAAGAGAGAACTCGATCCGACTCCCTTCACCCCGCGGAAAGGTGAGAACCCTACCGCTTACCTCTTGCCAAGGTTGTATAACTGCAGACAGAGGCCCGGGAATTGGGACCCGGTAGAACACAGCGGCGCGCGGCTCCGGGAATAGCTATGGCTCAATAAGAGGACAGTCCCTTATGCTTCGCAGAAGGGGGCCGTTGCGAGCCTCTAGCGTTGGTACCCAGAGCCTTGTTAGCAATGCTACACAGCCTGCTGTGATCCATAGCGGCAACAACAACAACAACAACACCACCACCACCAGCAGCAGCAGCAGCAGCAGCAGCAGCAGCAGCAGCAGCAGCAGCAGCAGCAGCAGCAGCAACAACAACAACAACAACAACAACAACAACAACAACAACAACAACAACAACAACAACCACGACAACACAACACAACACAACACAACAACAACAACAACAACAATTTATTATTGGACGCTGAGCGAGCGGGCTCTGCTCATTGCGGGCGAGCAGAAACTTCGGAAGCGTGCCATCCCCGAGTGTGCCGTGAGCCAGCGCCACCGAGGTGAGCCATAAGCAGCACCACTCCCTTAGAATCTGACCTGCCGACATTCTTATAGAGGTTACGCGGTCTTCGCCCGGCGGCCTTGTAAAGAAAAAGAAACAGACTGGCGCTTTGCGCGAGGGGACTGCCCATGCGAGAATCGCAGGTACCTCCTTCATCCGTTTCTGAGAACTACGACCGAAGTCAGGCCCCGAGGCCTCGCGTAAAACAAGCCAAAACGAACTGACCTAACAAAACCAACAGAGAAGACCGCGCAACCCCTATAGGATCCTCAGTGAAGGAAAAAGAGGAGCCGATGCTACAAACGTTAAAAGAGAAAGGGCCTAAGTCAAGAAGAGCAGCGCTGCAGACTGTACACAGCAGCAACAGCTCTTGGGCACCAGCCTCTAGGGGATAGGCCACAAGAAGTTGACTTCAGTTACAAAGGCGTTGCCCGTTTTTTACGCGAGCGATGCCCGAAACTCCTAACGTGACAGCCCGACTCACAAAGTCGTCGTCATGTAGCCTCCGTCACCCTCAGTGTGAGTCATTGCGTCCAATACTCACGAACTGGCAGCCGGTGGGTCGTACTCAGAAGAGCCGTCTCCCAGAGTTCCCGTCTAGTGGCGTCCCACACTAGGTAACTCCCGACTACCAGCGATGGGCCGTAAGGATAATTCGTCGTCAAGCAAAAACACGTGGGCCGTCACTCCTAGCACTGCCTGACCCCGTCGGTAACAGGACAGTAACGAACACACCTGGGAGGGCCGTAGCCGTAGCCCGACACCCATAGCACAGCAAGCGCGTCCGCTTAACGACTGTACCCAGATGTGACGTGGAGCCGTACCAGGTAGACACCGTGCTGGAACTGAAGACGTTGGCCAACTCTGCTGAACCTGAGTCCCCAGTGTCCCAATCTGCGCCTTGTCTTGTAGACAAGTCTGGCCCGGCGGCCCCCGAGAGGCCTCCCCCTCAAGAGAGGATAGCCCCTCTAGGCCCTCAAGGGCACCCCATAGCAAGAGGAGTCCCTGGAATGCCCGTCGGGGCCAGCATTGGGAGGATGCTGACGCGTTGTGAGTCACCACGTTGCGCCTAGCCTGTCCTGAGTCTGACTTGCTCCCAGGCGCTGGCGGCTGAACAGAAGTGAAGCGCAGAAAACTCTCAACCGTGACGAAGAACTCTCGATCGCACTGGCTTCGTAGCAGCTGGTGGCAGTCCACTGTGCCGTTGAAGGAAAAACTAGTGCTCGAAGAAGACTGCATGAGAATACCAGACGATCCGTGTCCTTCTTGCGGAGGTGTACCAGTTAAAGCGCAAAACCAGAGCGCCAGCAAAACTGCGCAGGAGAGACCGTGAGCTGTACCTGGGTGTCTTGTCGTGTAGCTGGAAAGTCGAAGAGAGGAGCGGAACGAGGCCTCAACTCGAAAGCTTCCTTCAGGATACCCAGGTGCAGAAGATGGCCAACCCATGACTGGGGCCGCCCCTTGAATGGCTTGGTGCGGCAGGTCCTTTTGTAAATGTAAAAGCATCGGCAGGAGAAAAGTACTGAGGCACAGTCGACGCGCCTTCCGCTAGTTTCGCCGGAAAGAGAGAACTCGATCCGACTCCCTTCACCCCGCGGAAAGGTGAGAACCCTACCGCTTACCTCTTGCCAAGGTTGTATAACTGCAGACAGAGGCCCGGGAATTGGGACCCGGTAGAACACAGCGGCGCGCGGCTCCGGGAATAGCTATGGCTCAATAAGAGGACAGTCCCTTAAGCTTCGCAGAAGGGGGCCGTTGCGAGCCTCTAGCGTTGGTACCCAGAGCCTTGTTAGCAATGCTACACAGCCTGCTGTGATCCATAGCGGCTACAACAACAACAACAACACCCCAACACCAACACCAGCAGGACCTAACAACAACAGCACGTCAACAACAACACAAACAACACAACAACAACAACAACAACAAAACAATCACAACAAGCACAACAACAACAACAACAACAACTCACCACAACCGCAAAACACCACCACACCACCACCACCACCACCACCACCACCATAGCAACCCCCACCACCACCACCACCACCACCACCACCACCACCACCACCACCACCACCACCACCACCACCACCACCACCACCACCACCACCACCACCACCACCACCACCACCACCACCACCACCACCACCACCACCCCCCCCCCCACCCCCACCACCACCACCCCCACCACCAAGGCAAGCGCCACCAGCAGCACGGCTACCACCTGCAACACCACACTCCTCATCCATCATCGCTCTGATCTGCGCAATGGCTTTCATGGCCACAAGAAACGCCATCATCCGCATCTTCACAGGCAACATAACATGTTACGTTCAATTTCGCTGCCTATCGTCTATGCCCTACATCGCACAACATGCGCTAAATCCTTTGTGCCGAACAAGTGAACACTCTGTTTGGTAGACCGCTTGACTCTAACCGAGGCTCTAACTCTCCACACGACTCTTCGTCCAACCCGCCTGGGCTCAGCAACGCTATACATCGAAACCTCCGAGCCCGAAACCCCGTGGATGGCTCCATACAAAGACCGCTATATGGCACTGATCTGGGGGGTTGCCCGCCTTCTGCCTACATCACTGTACCCTTAGATACCCCGACTCCCGAAACCGCAGCGCCCTTGCACCTGTAGGGAAGCTTCTTAAGCGAGACCGCCAATCGCCGACCCTGAAATCGTGTGCTCTGCTGCCTGTGCTCTCCGTGCCACAGCGCCGCAGATGCTCCAGAAGATCCTTCGTGGTAAGTAGCTCCAAATCCTCGGTCTGGGCCTCACAAAGAGACAGAGCCAGATTTTTCGTCGTGGCTGAATCTACTTAGAGACTTCATGGATAGTGCAAATCTTCGGGTCCCAGACGGCGAGTGAATTTCTGCTTCACAAAAGGGCCCTTGTAGAGTTCAATTGTTGGCTCAGGGCCGGTCTCTGAAGAGCAATTAGACGTTAGGCTTCAAGCCAGCATTTCACACTGTAGCACTGCGTATAAGGAGCAGGAGAAGCTTCGCTGTCTGCCCCATCTCGCAATCAGGGCTACCGCTCTGGGGCTAGGGTTGCCATGAACCTCGAGACTCGAGGCCTACATCAAGGTCGCAGTAGTCTGAGGGTTTAATGCATACTTGCCGCGGAAATTCGGCATGCTGACAAACACACGATGGAGACACCGATAGAACCCCGAACACTGCAATGATGATAATGCTCGTGCTCGCGAAGTTGGTGCGGATGGTGCCGTGTCATGCGGACCTCTGCCGCTTCCGACCCAGCTCATCTCTTGCAAGGGTCTCGAAACTCCACGCATTTTGCGTAAAGAATGAGTACTCGGGGGGTTACGTAGTCTACTGTACATAAGTCAGGACAATGACAACGACGTTAAACTAGCACAGGAAGCCTCCTGTCCATGAGCGGTTTCAGCTCCTCTCGGCAGCCTACAATAGCTAGCCGGCCCGGTCTTTCGATGAAGCCATCAGCCAAAGCCATTCGTGTAGAGCACAAAAAGCCATAAAATGCTTTCGGGCTCCAGGACTGTAGCATTCACTTCAGGCGTTCGGGTCACACAAGGTTTGACAGAGCACTTCGGGCATGTGGACCCCGGCCTTTCCGAGCTGGCTCCGCCCGCTGGTGACTGGAAGAGACCTGGTTGGCGCAGTACCGAGCAAGCAACTAGTCCGGCACCGTCTTATGCTTGTGGCCACAATGATGATTCTTGCTGTTATCCTGGATCTCACAGCCTCACAAAGAGCACGCCCCGCGGCCACGGACTTCAAAGTACTCAGCCCAGCAACCGTGAGTGCGGAAAAAGGTCCTCGTCGTCGGAACTCCGAGCCTGGATGACGCCGCGTTTTACAGCGGACATTAACGGGCTTAACGGTCGAGGGTTCAGAATTACGAGCACTGACTACGGTTGGATTCTGTGTTTTCTGTGGGTGGTCTCATGGTAGAGCGCCGTCAGAAAGGCGTAGGGCTGAGATGCGAGTCTCAGAGAGAGAGAGATAGAGAGAGAGAGAGAGAGAGGGAGGGAGGGAGGGAGGGAGGGAGGGAAGGGAGAGAGAGAGAGAGACAAGGATGGTTGCACCGTTGCACCCAAGCGCCGAATTCCGCACTTCAAACTGGACATGACAGACCAGCATCTGAGATACTTGCATCTGAGAACGGGAGACATCCAAGTTGCAGGGTAGCGAAATTGGAGTGAAAGCAACATGTGGGTTGAACCATGCACAGCTTTCAGGATGATGACATCACACACTATCACTTGCAGGTGCAGGTGGTTGATTCTGTGATTGTTCCCCCATCGTTGAACAACCTTTCAGAGCCGGTGCTCCCTGGGTTTTTGGTCGATGGCATTGCGAGTCAAGTGCTCCGTATCACGTGTGCAAGACGGTCTCGCCCAAACACGCGCCCACACACGAGAGAGAGAGGAGCGAGCTGCAGCTGAGCTTTCGGCCGACTGCGCAGCCGGCAGCTGTGGCAGCCTCGGAAGAGCCGCGAGCCAAAGGCCGAAGCAAACAAATCAGCCATGCCCCGGGCCCCGGAAGCACGTCTCCAAGCAAGGCGCGCATAGCTCGAACCAAAAACAAGGCTGCAGATGTCGCCTCTTTGGTGAAACGATGTCGCTCTCGGCGGTGCGAAAAAGCGCCTGCTTGGTGAAACGTAGCGGGGTTCCTCGGTCATGGTCGACCGAGTGCGCAAAAACTCAATGCTGGCCATCGCCGCTATGCCTATGCCATGGCTCATGTCTGCGACGGTGGCCGCTGCAAGTGAATCCACAACTACACCCGGAATTATCTGCGGAAGAAACCGCAGCTCCACCCAATGGCCACTGAGCTGCTGGATCTCGCATCCTGAAAGGTCAGAAACTGGCCTCGCTCGGCTAGAGCTGTGGAAGAAACCACAACTCCGCCTGAGTGCAAACAGTATGAGCTGTCTCTCGTGCCGTTGCCATGCCTGGGACAACAGCCACCTAGCTATAGGAACCCTTCGACTCACCAGCCGCATTTCCGCTGGTTCGGGAAGCTCGCCTCTGAGCCTTTTGTGCCTCGAGCTGTATTCGATTACGCCGCGCCTTGGCTTCTCTCTTGGTGCAGAAATGGCAGTGGTCACAGTTGTCACCTTTGTGGCATCCATCTGCTTTTCGCGTGTGGTAGAGGCAAGGCATGCATTGGCCAATCTGGTGAAGGACGAAACCAGCGGAACCTCGCACCTCAAAAGCCTCTCCACGCTGAAAACGAAGAGCAAGGGATGTGGCAGCCGCAGGGTTTGTCTCCTGTGACCGCTCGAGCTCTTGATGCGTGTCGTTAAGTAGGGACTCCGAGCGGCCATCATCGACGCTCTTCGTTTCTTTTTTGTCAGAGGTCTTCCCGTCTGTGTGAAGAGCTGAAAGACTTCCATCGTCGTCATCGCCCAGCCAGACTGCGGGCAACCCGCCGCCAAGAAAAATGGATGATGCAGAGCTTGAGACCTCGTCGTCTGCAGAGTCCAAATGCATGTACGCGGGAGCTCTGAAGGAAGCGCTGGTGGCCTTGAATTTTCTGGACACGCGCATACTCCTTGAGCCTTGAGGCGCAGTCCTTTTGGCTTGGAGACTTAATGGCTAGGGTGCGGAAAGATCCAACCCCATTCTTGGACGCCATAGGCCATGACAAGTTCGAAGCACTTGGTTCGGGGGTGTGGATAGCAGGAAGGTTCCTTATTGTGGAGGCCGGTAGTCGTGGCTGGAGGTCCGGGCAGCATCGAGCTTTGCATGCCGATGAGACATGACTGGTGCAGCAACGCAGTAGCAGCAGCAGTGGCAGCGGCAGCAGCAGCAGCAGCGGTGGCTGTGGCGGTGGCGGTGCATGGTGGTGGCGGTGGCCTAGCTGTAGTAGTGGTAGTCTTAGCAGCAGCAGTAGTAGCAGTAGCAGCAGCAGCAGCAGTTGCAGTAGCAGCAGCAGTTGCAGTAGCAGTAGCAGTAGCAGTAGCAGTAGCAGTGGCAGTGGCAGTGGCAGTGGCAGTGGCAGTGGCAGTAGCAGTAGCAGTCGCAGTGGCAGTCGCAGTAGCAGTAGCAGTAGCAGTAGCAGTAGCAGTAGCAGTAGCAGTAGCAGTAGGAGTAGTAGTAGTAGTAGTAGTAGTAGTAGTAGTAGTAGTAGTAGTAGTAGTAGCTAGTAGTAGTAGTAGTAGTAGTAGTAGTAGTAGCAGTAGCAGTAGCAGTAGCAGTAGCAGTAGCAGCAGCAGCAAGAGTAGTTGTAGAAAGTAGAAGTAGTAGTTGTAGTAGTAGTTGTAGTAGTAGTTGTAGTAGTAGTAGTAGTAGCATGTAGTAGTAGTCGTCGTATAGTAGTAGTCGTAGTCGTAGTCGTAGTCGTAGTCGTAGTAGTAGTAGTAGTAGTAGTCGTAGTCGTAGTCGTAGTCGTAGTCGTAGTCGTAGTGGTAGTGGTAGTGGTAGTGGTAGTGGTCGTGGTCGTGGTCGTGGTCGTGGTCGTGGTCGTGGTCGTGGTCGTGGTCGTGGTCGTGGTCGTGGTAGTGGTAGTGGTAGTGGTAGTGGTAGTAGTAGTAGTAGTAGTAGCAGCAGAAGTCGTCGTAGTGGTAGTAGCAGAAAGAGTAGTCAGTAGCAGCAGCAGCAGCAGCAGCAGTAGAGTAGCAGTAGCAGCAGCAGTACTAGTAGTAGAAGTAGAAGTGTAGCGGCGGTAGTAGTAGTAGTAGTAGTAGTAGTAGCAGCAGCAGCAGCAGCAGCTGTGGCTGCTCGCAGTTCGTAGTCAGCAGTTAGCAGGCCACAGTGAGCAGTTAGTAGGTCGTAGTTCGCATCTGATCTGGTAGTTACAGTAGTAGTTAGCTAGTAATAAGCAGTTAGCAGATACGAGCCAGCGAGTGCTAGGGCAGCGGTGGTAGTAGTAGCAGCAGCAGGAGGAGTAGAAACAGTAGCAGTGGCAGCGGCAGTGGCGGTAGCAGTAGCAGCAGCAGTATGTAGCAGTAGTGGTAACGGTGGTAGCAGTAGTAGAACCCCTTAACCCTGGAGCCCAGCCAAGTCGCAAGATTTCAAAATGAAAAGCACTGATTACATCACACTCTTTCCAAAACCGGTTGCCTATAATCTACCGCAACCCCTGGGCCACAGACTTCTGCTCCGCTCCTGTCCCCGGTTTCGATCGCGAACGCCGCCTCGGCTCTGCATCCACTCAGGGCTGAGGTTGCTGCTGGTGGAAGGCTCCCTTTCTCTCCTTTCGTCTCTCTCTCTCTCTCTCTCTCTTTCTCGCTCTTTGCATCTTCCTCTTCTCCTCACTTTCTTTTCTCTCCTCTCTGTCTCTCTCTGTCGCTCTCTCACACTCACTCCCTCCCTCTCTCTTCGCCAGAGCTCACTAGGGCCCAACGTACCCTCTGAGGGTGAAACCTGTTCTTTTTGCTCTCTAGCGATCTCTCGCTCTCTTTGTCGAAACGGGCCACGCGACGGCACGGGTTGGTTCAGACAGGTGCGCAAGGCGGGTGGGCACACCACACACGCGGAAACACACAGATACATACTTGACATACATGCAGACAAACAAACCCTTTCGACGAGGCTGTGCATAAGCCAAAGGGTCGGCGAGGCTGCAGCAGCCTGGATGCTGGCCAGGTCCCTGCGTCGGCGTGGGGTCTCTGTTAACTTATCCGGCTCAGGCATTTATGAAAGATCAATATGGCCTCAGCTGTAACGTAGAGCTCAGCACGTCGGATTGAAGTTTTAGCTTCCGGGATTCGGAGCTTAGGGTCAGAATTAGGGGTTGACAGCTCAGGCCTTGACGACCAAAAGCGCGCGAAACCCAAGAGGCCGAGGCCCGACAACCCTGGCAAAGCTGGGAGCCCCTGAGCCCTCCAAAATGACCAGTCCAGGGTTTAGCGCGGGCGCAATGAATACGAAACCCGACATAAAACCTTACGACCACTACTACTACTACTCCTGCTCCTGCTCCTGCTACTACTAACACCACTACTTGGACTAACTACTTGTGCTACTTTTCACCGCCCAAAGGGCCCCAGCTCAATCCACCAGCCTTCGCTTGCCAAGACGCCAGCTGCCCAGACTAGCGCTGCTGACTGGACTCTCCTGCTTGAGTGGCCATGATGCCATGCATGTGAGGGGGTCTCCTGCTTTTGTGATTCAGTCTTTCACAGGGCGGATGGTGATGCTTTTGTGCAGAGCTGAGACATGAAGGAGAGGTCACACGTGCAAGGGCTTACGTTTCTCTCATGATGTGGATGATGCACCTGCTCCTGAAGATCAAAACATTCCTGGTTGGAATTTGCCAAAATCCGCCGAGGCCACAGGCCCAGGCGTCTTGGGGGTTAGCTCAGGTTCCCTCCACCTAATCCTCCTCCCTGCGGTCCAAAAGGTTTGGGGACACCCGCTTTTTGCGTTCGTTTCCCACCCCCTTGCCCGGCTTCCCCTCATTTTACCTGATTTGTCGGCCTCCCCCCCCCTCCCAGGCCTCCCCCCCCCTCCCCCTCCCCCCCCCCTCCCCTTTTTTGATTCCATAAACCTCTAAAGGGGTAGCTCTAACAGGTACCTACAGCAATGGCTGCATGCTCATACATATACATTCCGCTGCCCATTGGCTCAAGTGGTTTTACCATATTGAGACAAGACAAGCTCTCCTTGCGTAGCAAGACAAAACAACTACTGTCCGTGTGCAGGGCGCTGCCCTTTGATCCTTAGGGAATAACTGGTCATACACCTCCTCACAAGGAGTATCCCTTGGGGGTGTATCGGCACAGTTTTCTGGTAGCGGAGCCCGGAAAGGGCCGCCCGCCTCACAAAGTCCGCTACAGCGGTCGGCCTCGCCGAACGCTTAACCAAGCGGATAAGAGGCAGCACAATGTCGAGCTCGCATAGCGAAGCCGACGGCAGTTCCCAATCCTCCGGGGGATATGAGAACGAAGAGACCTCCCAAGGTCCAGCCACTTATGTCGCACAGTCATATGCAACATCTGACCGCATGCTTGCATCATTAGGCATAACGCCCAAGATCGCGCCTGCCTATGATGGCACCACCTCGTGGTTTGAGTATGAACAGTTGATTGACGACTGGTGCGACATAACAACGCTGGATGACACCAAAAGAGGTCCGTCTCTCAAGACGAGGCTCTCCGGATTGGCCGCAGTACAAAAGGAATCACTGAACCGAGAAAGGCTTGCAGCCCCAGATGGAGTAGATTACTTCAAGAAGAAGATGCGTCCATTTTTCGTGAAAGGAGAACAGTACGTTTTCCTGTGGCGTTTCCTCGGCCTATTCAAGGCATGGAAGGGCAACCAAGACTTTGTGACTTGGATTGCCAAGTTTGAGATCGTGCTACAGCGCGTGAAAAACTCATGGATGGATCTCTTACCAGAGATAGCTCTGGAGGATGCCCATCCAGATTTCATGCAAGCTGTGCAGGCAGACCGAACCTTCTTGGGCCTACAGGAAGCAGCCGAGAGAGACACATACGCCGCACGCTATTTCGAAACATGGAACAAGGAACGCCTTGACAATCATCGAAGAGCGTTTCCTCTGAATGATAATCTCCTAGCTCTCCTCTTCCTAGTGCAGTCCGACCTAAATGAGATGCAACGTGAGAGGTTGGTAACAGCATTGACCAACCAAGGTCACCGAATTGAGACCTACACGTACCCTGTGGTACGGCAGACCATGTTCGATCAGTTCTCAACGACCAGAACTGGTCTGCAGGATCCCAACATTCGGCACTCTTCTCACAAGAAGGACCGCCATGGAAGGAGAGACCAACGCCGCAAACGCGGAGGTCGAAACTTCCTCATCCTCGATCAGGGTGAATACGATGGAGTCGATGGATTCTGGCTCCAAGACGAAGACACCCTTGAGGAAGGCTTTCTTGCCGCCGAGGATGAAGAAGCTGTCTTCTGGACAGTTGATGACCATGAGGCCTTCGTTGCAAGGAGATTCAAAAAGGGAAGAAGACCAAGAATGCGTCCCGGATCACCGGGAAGAGCAAAGGGTGGCAAGCGAAAAGGACGTGGCCGTTTTAGGTCATACCGCGGAAAAGGGAGAGCCAACCAGGCAGAACATGATCCAACTGATTCCAGCTATTTCGGTAAAGGTAAAGGAAAGGAAAAAGGAAAAGGTGGAAAAGGCAAAGGAAAAGGAAAGGACAAAGGAGATAAAGGAAGCTCCTTCAAAGGCGCAAAGGCAAAAGGCAAAGGTAAGGATACAGCTAAGTCTGCCTCCTTACAAGGAGACCAAACTGGATCTCCACAGGCCTATGAAAGTTCCACCGCACCGAGCTGGGATTCATGGTATGAGGACAGTTATTATACTGACTCCAGTTGGAATTATGCCGCTTACGACGATCAAACGTCTTATACATACTATGCATCACAAGCCTCACGAAGAAAAACACGGAGAAAGAAGAGAAGAAATCAAGCAGGATCATCAGGTAGAGGCACAGATCCGAGCGCGCACCAAGAACCCGTGTTCAACTCATCAGTGAGTTACGTGCCCCAGGTCTTTGAACCATCCGAGG